TAATCACTCTCAAAAGTAAATTTACTTAGCTGGGTAAGAAATCCCCAGCTTCATTAGTATTCTCTTACATTCATAAATCCTCCTTTGTCATATATGAGGGTTCCTAGGATCAGCACTGGCTGTAGCTACACCAAAAAAAAAAAGAGAAAAAAAGAAAAAAATCAATCAAACTGATGCATATTCATCAAGTGACTGCTCTGAACAGATTGATGGCATTTGTCTTGATTCTGTTAAAAGGGGAGCAAGGGCTTAAGCAAATCACAGCCTCACTGGGTGTCAAACTAGAAAATGAGAGGGTTGTATTAAATAATTACTAAGGCTTCATTCTTGCTCTAACCAAATGCAGTTCTATAATTATAAGTGTTTTGAAAAAGCTCCAGGTACTGAAAAGCATGCCAGAGTAGGGTAACACGCAGTCCCTCCACGCAGATGCAATGAAAATCCAAGTTAAAATGTAAATACCTCATCTTGGAAAGGAGGCATAAGACATTATCAGACATCACCTTATTAGGGCTTAGCTCCAGGCGGCTAGAGTACCTAGGATGAGCAGTCGCTGGGAAGAAAATGATTAAAGCAGGCATTATAAATCAAATGCCTGTAGGAGCCAGCAAAGAGCATAAATAAGGGGGCAGATCCAGGTGGGAGTTGTGGAAAAATGGACACCTGCTCCTCAGCTCCAGCTAATTGTTGCCCCTTGGGAATATAGCCCATAGGTTATCCTATCTTTAGTTTTTCAAGAAACGTCTCCCAAATCCACAAAATTTCTGAATTTTAAATATCGTCTTAAAATATTTTTAAAACAGGGGCACCTGGGTGGTTCAGTGGGCTCAGCCTCTGTCTTTGGCTCAGATCATGATCTCAGGGTCCTGGGATAGAGCCCCACATCGGGCTCTCTGCTCAGGAGGGAGCCTGCTTCCTCCTCTTTCTCTGCCTGCCTCTCTGCCTACTTGTAATCCCTGTCAAATAAACAAATAAAATCCTTAAAAAATATATATTTTAAAACATAGTACAAGACAAGTGTATCTCCACACTAGATAAACCACAGGACACCAAACTTGAGCTCTCTGCCGTGGGGCATTGTACAAGGAATAGCATATAAGGACAGAGAGGACATGGCAAACAGAAGCAAGGATGCAGTGAAAGAGGATGGAGGGGGTGGGATCAGCGTCCGAGGTTGGCTCTGTTGAAGAACAAGCAAACTGAAAGGTAGAAAAAGGTTAGGATAGGACTTTTTGGGGGTCATGAGTACCGCATGAGATTCTGATGAATGTGGTAGAGATTTTCCATGGAAAACCAAACTTTTATGTAGCAGGCAAAATAATCCCTCCCTCCCGCCACCACACACACACCAAGCTCCTTGTGTCCTAATTTTTTGTCCCACTCCACATGTTACTCTTACATGACAAAAGGGCTTCTGAAGATACAATCAAGTAAAAGATCTTGAGATGAGGAGATTATTGTGTATTACCTGAATCAGCCCCATCTAGTCCCGTGAATCCTTAAAATGAGAAAATCTCTCTTGGCCATGGTTAGAGGGAAATGTATGGAAGAATGCTCAGAGATGTAATGTTGCTAGTTTTGCAGTGGAAGGAGAGGTATATGGCAAGCAGCCTCTGGAAACTGGAAAAGACAAGGAAATAAATGGATTCTCCCCCTAGAGACTCCAGAAAGAAATTATAGGCCTACTGATACCTTTATTTTAGCCCAAGGAGACCCATGTTGGATATCTACAGAACTATAAGATTATAAACGTGGGTTGTTTTAAATCACAGATTTGTGGTCACTTGTTACAGTAGCAACAGAAAACCAATATAATGTATATGCACTCAAACTTCAGGAAAAACACTCATAAACCTCCCTGAAGCCCATCCACAGAACAGATAGAGGCTCCTTATGCTAGAAAGAGTTGAAGATACAACATGATCTGAGAGCTGAAGGTAGGAAACTATTTCTCCTTGGCATACATGCAAAGATCAGTTCCCACTCCATAACACAATGAGCTCCAAAATCTCATTTCTACAAGGATGGATTCATTCTCTGAACACTAACTTTGAGTCTCATTGAAGTGACATGTGACCCCTTGGTGGCAAAAAGATCTTTCTTCCCTTTTACAAAGTATTCATTATGCAAATAAAATTCTCCCCCCACCCCCAAGAAGGTGGCATTTTATAACCGCAGAGATTTATCCTGGCTCCTTCTCTCGCTTTGAGCCAAACCTAGGTCTGGAGCATCCTGTTACAGTATCATGTCTCTATCAAGATCTTTTTGGGCACCATATGCCTGAACCTGGCCATATGCTGGCTTAAAAGGGAAGGGAAATGTTATCAGGAATGTGAGCTATCTGACTCAAAGTTGTTTTTAGCCTCAGATCTCATTTCACCAGTTCAAGTTTCACAATCCTTGTAACATTTTGAGATTTTTTTTTTTTTAAGTTTCATTAGAATGTCCCTAGGTGATGCCACCATGGCTGTGAGAAATAAGTCTAGTTTAAAGGTTACCAACCCAATCTAAATACTAAACTTAATAGTATCAGACACTGCTTCTGATCTGATCCTTAATTCCAGATCCTATGATTTTCCAACAATGGGGTACAGAATACTCTGGAATGGTGCTAGCTCATAAAGCTAGGACCCATCAAGGTGGAACCTGGAGGCTAGAAGGGAAAGGAAGAAAAGGACAAGGTATTTGGGGTCCTATGGAGGTTTGTTAAGATGTAGAAGTGGCCAATGTATTGGGGAGACAAACCTGATTTCACGAGGAAGGCTGTCCGGGGACCCTGTCGGTATTTGGTTCCTTCCACTAACATGCAGAGGAGGTCAAGGAACCTCCTAAGGTGTTACAAACTTGTATATATATACATCTCTGTTTTTCTGAGTAAAGGTACCATAGGTCTGAGAATCCAAATTCAACTGTAACTTCCCATCCCCAAATGTAAGAATTGCTGCCCAGTATATTTCCTCATCAAAACTATTCTAATTCAGGGATGCCTAGGTGGGTCAGTCGGTTAAGCCACTGCCTTCAGTTCAGGTCATGACCCCAGGGTCCTGGGACTGAGTCCCGCATGGGGTTCCTTGCTCGGCAGGGAGCCTGCTTCTCTCTCTGCCTCTGCCTGCCACTCTGCCTGCTTGTGCACTCTCTCTCTCTCTCTGATAAATAAATAAAATCTTTAAAAAACACAAACTAGGGGTACCTGGGTGGCTCAGTGGGTTAAAGCCTCTGCCTTCGGCTCAGGTCATGGTCTCAGGGTCCTGGGATGGAGCCCCGCATGGGGCTCTCTGCTCAGCGGGGAGCCTGCTTCCTCCTCTCTCTCTCTGCCTGCCTCTCTGCCTAGTTGTGATCTCTGTCAAATAAATAAATAAAATCTTAAAAAAAAAAACACAAACTATTCTAATCCAATACTCTTAGCTCTTACTAATCATATGTAAATGATTCCCATCACAGAATCCTATTAAATTTCTGACTTGCCCTCTGATAACAGTAGTATTACCACTTACTTTCCCCACTGTAGGTGAGATATAAAGTGGTCTAAAGTTATCAAACATCAAGTATCTTTGAGAAGTCTAACTGTTGATGTTTTTCCTGATTAGCCTCTGTGGAATACCCACCCCAAAGGGCTGACATACATTCTATACACAAGAATGATTTAGGTTTTTTGTTCGTTTGTTTGTTTTGTTTTGTGTTATTATTTTGAAATATGCATGGGTATATAGTTGGCCTGTTCTTGCTGAGAAAGGCAGTCAGTCACCAATGTGGTGGAAGAGAAACAGGGTCACTGCACAAAATTGGCTCTAGTCAGTCTAAAAGAGCTTCATTATAATAAGGCTTCAAATAGGAAGGAGAGTGCCCCAAACAGCAGAGAAATGACGAGGCTGAGTCTTACCTGACCTGAAGTCACATAAGAATAAACAGAAAAGAGGTGGCAACTTGTGAGAAGGGTGATACAAGAAACCTATTAATCTGGTTGGAGAGCAGGTCACCTTGGTTTTGACACCCCTCCAACCTTTTGGGGCTCTTTGATTCTAAATTTAGTATATTGAATATTTTAAAGCAAAATTACATAGCAGCCAACTTCTCTGTAGTTGTTGACTCATTTAGGCTGTGCGGCCATAAAAAAAAAAAAAATCTAAAGGTCATGCTCAGAAGCACAGCGCTCCCTTCCCACTGACTGAAGGCTATGATTATGCTGTACACATGATCCTACAAAGACAGCTGACACAACTAGCAGCTGAATTCTTTCTTCTGTTTATTTCCAGAAGAGACTTTCCACAGACAGCTGCAATGCTGGGCTCCCATCAGAATGCCATGCCAACCGTGCTGCAGACAGCTTTCCACCTCTGTCCTCACCCTGGACCCTGGGCTGTCTCCAGCAGGTCTAGCAGACCAGAGAGGCCAGCCCCGGGGCTGCTTCAAATGCCTCAAGGACACTACTTTGATCAGCACAGAAGCCACACCTGCTATTCTGTAATCAAACATTTATAGGCTCAAAGTCTGGCTCAACTTTTTCACTTGTGCAACATCAGGCCAGTGCCTCAGTGAGTCCCAGCCTCTGGCTTCTCCTTCATAAAATGGGGCTATTAGTACTCACTTTGTGAAGAAGAGGCAAAAGCTAAATGAGATAATATGTGAAAAGAAATTGGCTTGATGTCTACACTGTCATCACTAATTATCATTATCACAGAGGAAAACCTAATCATCTCCAGCATGGAATAAAAGAGGACAAATGAAATCAGCATTTCTTTCTCCAAGACTCTCTCCTCTTCTCTCCTAGCCAAAGGCTGATTATCTCCAAAATGAAGGCAAAAACTGTAGGTTATTTACATTTCTCCTCAACTCAGACTCAATGATACTCTCACAGCTGCTTTAAGCTGCTTCTGTGACTTATAAGGATTGCCAGTCAAAATCAGAAAGCCTTGCCTTGTGTGGGAGTGGCAAGCACAGCATCAGCATTTCTGGGAAAGCAATACCAGGCACAGTACAATTTCTGACGACAAAAGGCCCACCTTTGTTGAACTCGTACTGTTTCTTGGCACCTGAAGGAGTGGTTTTGCGGACTCTCGTGAGCTGGCGTTCCTGTTCTCCCCTGACACTCTGGCTGGCTGGGTACCACGTGCTCTGTCTCCTACAAGAAGAAATAGCTAAAGTAGAGGAGTTGTCAGTAGCCATCACACCGGAGTGTTCTTCAGCTAGAAGTGGGTCTCAGGGCAGGGAAGCACAAACAAAACACACTCCGCAGACTATAGTCGGGGAAGGGGACCAATAAGTAATTTGCAATTTAAGAAACATTTTTCTATCAATCAGTTGCTACAAGATTACAGAATAAAGAGAAAAATAATGAAAAATCTAACATTCAAGAGAGACAATGTAACCATGCCATAAAAATTTTCACATTAAAAATATTATAGAAGGGTATTGAATAAATAGATATATCTGAAAACATAATTTCTAGAATATTTATAACATTGGCTCATTTTTGTAAAAACAAACATATGTACGAATACACACACATACAGATTGAGATACCAAAATCTTAACAGTGACTAACTCTAAGATGTCATTTCTTTTTTCCTTTTGGGGGCTCATCTACATTTTTTAAAATAAACATGCATTACTCCTATAATAGGAAAGAAATTTAAGTCGGTCTGAAACCTAAGGAACACATCATTTTTATGAATTCCAGTCCCCAAGTATGCAAGCATTCTCTTCCCAATCTCTCTCTCTCTCTCTCCTTTCAACACACACACACACACACACACACCATTAGCTACACTGCATCCAAAGAAATAACTACACTGGACATCCCATGATGCAATCTGCGCATTAATTTAGAAGAACTCCAGAATGCTAAACTTTCTAGAGAATATCATAAACACATCAAAGCTAACATGAATCTGGATTCACTATAAGAACACATACACTAAAAATGAAAGATTTATATACATTCAACAGTTGAACCACTATAATTTTTGAGCTGTGTCAAATCTCTAATTGACAAGTTTTCCCTGCAGCAAAATAGCCCCTTTACCTGAAAAAAGAAATACTAAAACTAAACTCAGTGAGAAATTGTATAAATCCAGATGGCTACTGTCACACAGTGAGAATATTCATGTGCTGCAGTACATCTGGGTCTGACTGAGCAGTATACTTTGGTGGCAGTGTAGACCAAGCTTTCTTATTTGGAGTGTGGGTTAAAGTCAGTACAAGTACCAACATGTCAGATGTCTCAGAAGTCACGTTTCTGAAACATTAGGATAATGAAGTGGTTTTTTTTTGCCAAGTAGTCATCACAAGCTTCTAAAACAAAATTATGGGGGACCTGTGTGACTCATTCAGTTAAGTCTCTGTCTTCAGCTCAGGTCATGATCTCAGGGTCCTGGGATGGAGCCCCACCTTAGGTTTCCCGCTTGGTGGGGAGTCTGTTTCTCCCTCTCCCTCTGCCCTTCCCTGTCCCCCACCCCCAGCTCATGCTTGCATTCTCTTTCTCCAATAAACAAATAAAATATTTTTAAAAAATAAAATTAGATATATATGCCTTCCTCTAAGAGGGTTAAAGTGGGGAGTTGGGGCAGAGATAAGGAAAGGATTTAATTATTCCTCCAGGATCCTTTAATACCATTTCTCTAAGCCTCCAGCTTCAGGCAAAAAGACACTCTGGACATAGTAAGTGCTTGTAAAAAAATTCTACAACTACCCAAATACTGGCCAAGTTTCCCCAACAGTGGGTTCAAGTGAGATAGCTCTGCCTACTACTTGCTAGGTATGTGACAAGTTACATCAATTATCAGGATCCCCACTTCCTTGTCTGTAAAATGGGGATAATACTCCAAGGTCACAAAGTTGTTGAACAAGATGTCATTAGAACATATCTTAGTACCTGTCAACTGGAGGTGCACAGCAGATGGGAGTTATGAATGCTAATATTTCTTTTATAAAAATTCCCTTGAATCTTAATATTCTGAAAGGTATGTTAAGGAAACCCTCAGAGACTTAATCCAAACAAGTTTATCAAAAGCAAACCTATGTTTGTGGTGGGATGCTTGTTTGTTTCAGATTTATATACTTCAAGAATATAATCTAGAAGTTTCTCAAGAACTTTATAGGAAATAGGAGAGTAAATCCCAATTCTTACTCGCTCCAGTTTTTATAAAAATAATTTCATGCTTTTGCTTAAAGGGAGAAGGCAGAAAAAAGATGGATGTCATTCTAACTAAATTAACGAAACAGTAGCTTCCAAAGATATTGTGCTGCCAGGTATCATTTATTCATAAGGACATAAAGGAAAAAAGTTTATAACAAGAACAGTCATAATTATGGTTATTGGCCTCTATAACAGAGACACAGAAGACACCAGGACTCACCTTTTTGGTGAGTTCACATCCCTATTCCAATTGGGCTCTACCACCTGACCAGGGACAAGGTTAACTAGGACTGCCAAAGAAAGTTCTTAGAATAGATAACGTATTCACATACGATTGAGAGAGCATATTCTTCCCCTGCCCCTAAAAGTGACACTATCTGGACAAGAACATATTTAACATATTAGCTTTGCTCATTTAAGCTTCATTACATCTTTGAGATCTGCTATAATACCCTCTGCCAAAAATTCTAAAACAATAAAACAGAGTGTTTACCTTAAAATAACTGAGAGATATTTTTTACTTAAAAAGGAATCACCTACTATAAACCAAGGATGTTGACAGTTAGGGAGGTTATGTAAAAGTGACTAAGACAATCCTGCCCCCAAAGAATTTTAAAATCTACTGTTTGACAAAGACGAAAGTGTAAGAGGGCAGACACTAACTTGTTTACTGCTGTGGTAATGTGCTTGCAAATGGACAGGTCCATGCTGACCAATGGAATTGAAGGAAGGAGAAGCCAAGACCCTCTCCCCCAGGCTTGTCTTCCTGGCATCTGGCCAGGCAGAGGCTGGAGGGGCACCTGTAAGACAAGTAATCCTACATCTTTTCCTGATTCCAGCTATCCCCTATCATTTGACCTCGTGTCCTGTATGTCCCAATTACAGCCTTGGTGCAGTGATTTGCTGGTTCTCTGCTATACACAGAAGCAATTAAATTGACTTGGTTCTGAGATACTTCGTAAGTAAGGTGCCTATAAAACAGACATTATTTCTGTTATTTTCTGATCCATGAGCAGAGGCTAAGATAGTACACACAATAAGAGAGAAATTGTCTATTAGATTGAGAGGCTCAGAAACTCAGCTGAGTCAAGGAAAAATTAGCTGCTGCTAAGCAGAAATAATGAAATATAATATTTTATCCTTGTTGGGACTTTAGTGAATTCAGCTGACTCTTACAGAACGTGAGAGAATCTAGTTTTGATCCAATGTGATGACCACAGTTTCATGTTCTTCAGAGCCCTCCTTGTACAAATCTGTAACCCAGAAGAAAGAAAAAAAAAATGCTTTGTCCTAGTCCTAGTTTTTGCTTAGCTTAACAAACCAGAATGCTACTCTTGGGCCTCAAAGACCTACACATCCTTTAAATCTTCCTTTCAAGATGTGTGGTCAATCAAAATATTAACTTTTTTCATCTTCTCACACTTGAGGTTTTATTTGTGTCCATTCCATTCCCAAATTAACTAAAAAAATTTACTTTCTTCAACTACTGGCTTAAATTTTAATTTAATTTAATTTAACTTAATTTTAAATTAAGTGGGTTTATAACTAATCACTGCTCTTCCCAAGAGCTCTAACTACATGGTTAATACATCCGATATTTCCATAGTTTGGAAAAGCATATATATTCAGCTCTTAGAATGAACAGGCAATGTGTTATTAATCTACCCTATCCTATGTCATCCCAGAGTTTTTTTTACCTTAATCTTCACACATCTGTGAAAATGACTTAAAGTCCTTTTGAATAACTGGGGGTTTTAAAGACTTTTGTCCCTGATTAAAAGAACTATTGGATTATCACATCCATTTTATAGTTGGGGGAAAGGGGCTCTGGAAGAGCTGATTTATAGTATCTTCTAAACATGTGTCTGATTATTATTTGAAGTGTTCTGGGACTTTAAGACATATTACTTAGAGAACTGTTTCTTCAGACCTCTTTTTTAAAATAATTTCTGCCTGCCTTGGTCATTATTTCAACACAGAAATAAATCATGGAGGATGAAAGAGGCATACATTCAAAATCTACACAGATCCACATAGTAGGATCTCCTCTGGTCTTATTTCCTTACCTGAAACACAAGGATATCGCCCGCTTTACTGCCTACATTTGTAAGAACTTCTGGTAGAAAATAGACATTCAAATTGGGATATTTTGTTCACTTTCCAAATCAAATAACATTCATCGAGTGCCTCACCTGTACTGAGCACTAAACTAGGCACTTTTAGCCTGTATGTCCTCATTTAAAACTAGGAGGCAGATCTTACTCTCTCAATTTTCCCCAAGGAGAAAAATAAAGTGAAGATAAGACAGAATTCTTGCCACTTTATTTCAACATCCCAAGTTTACTATTATCAAATGACAAAACTAAAACAATTTAGTAACTAATTTAACTCCTTTATTCAAGGAAAAACAATCCATGTATTTAGGGAGTATAGAGCTTATCAAACAGTGGAGCTTTCTTCCTAAGGTTTTGTGGGCAAGAATGAGCATTATAGAATGTAAGAAGAGGCAACAAGAGAACAGGGCATGAATGGCTAGGAATTCAGGGATTTCCTTGTAAGGCTAACAGGTCCTGTTTTCTAGGTAAGATAAGCTAGTTAAGGGGCGCCTGGGTGGCTCGGTGGGTTGGGCCGCTGCCTTCGGCTCAGGTCATGATCCCAGGTCCTGGGTTCGAGCCCCGCATCGGGCTTTCTGCTCGGCGGGGAGCCTGCTTCCTCCTCTCTCTCTGCCTGCCTCTCTGCCTGCTTGCGATTTCTCTCTGTCAAATAAATAAATAAAATCTTTAAAAAAAAAAAAAAAAAGATAAGCTAGTTAAAGCTAACTCGAAAGATTGTGACAGGTGTTAGGGTCTCTTGACAGGTATTTTCAATAAGTGCAGGCTAACTTTGTTTAGATTTGTGACATGGGCTAGGCCACTGAGATGGCCTCCATTTTGTGGGTCCCAATATACAAATTAATATCACCAATGTCCCCCCCCTTTTGATAA